GGCACAGGTATCTGATTTTAGCCAATCTCGACCATGCAGGTCCCAGCTGTACGTCTGGTGAGATCATCCCTCCATCGTGTTTTTGGACGACCCTGTTTTCTGGTCCAATCTCTTGGGGTCCACATTGCGTTGCTCTTATGGTCCATCTATTATCTGACAGCCGTGCTATGTGATCTGCCCATCTGTGCTTTGCCATCCTGATAGCATTGACGGAGTAGTCATTGCATGCATCCTCGTAACCGTTATGTTTGATTTAGTGGTGATGATGTAGAGATAAATGAGATGCTGGTCACTATTAGGGGTCAAATGGTTAAGAGCTGCTTCCTCATTTGATATCAGGAGCAGGGACCATCCGTCGCTACGCATTCCAAGAAGACGCCTGGAGTGCAATTCTAAAGCAGGTCATTGTTTTCAAATTTTCATTTCAGGTTATTGTGCTTATTTAAAATCTTTTGAAGGATCCTAAATTTACGCAATACATCTCTTCTCGTCAGTGAATACTTCTTTAGAAATTTAGTAACTTACGTCTCGGCAGAATAAAGAAACCTCCACAATTGTCTGTTGGGCGCAGATCGTCGTACAACTGGCAGCTGAAAGAGTCGACGCAGCATGCCTGTTTTGCTTCTGCATCATCCATTAAATCTTCCGGCTTATTTCTGTAGAGAACTTCTAAACCTCCGGCATCATTGCTGTCCGTAAGAAGCGCACCAGAGTCTTCTAAGAAAGTGGAATAGCAACACTTTCGAAAAATAAATCCGTTTGCGGAACTGCTGTCAACAACCTTGTTGAACGGGAGATCGGAAATGCTTTTGAAACAAGTGCTGAATGGTGCAGTGAAGTTAGTTAGAAAATAGGAGGTAGTTAAAAGCGCTTGGTCAAATGTACAGGGACAACCTGGGATAAAGTTATCAACGATCGATATCTCGGGTTTTAGATTTGTTTCTTGCCAGTCAGACCACTTCCTGCATTTTGTTTCAGGGTCTTCGCCTGTTCTGCGTTCAAGTCTAAAGAAATACTCTCCATCTTTGTCTGCATTTTCTTTCCCCAGGGTGAGGCTCGTTATCCCTGGAGAAGCCGACCTACGAGAGAAACAAATGAATAAAGGCTGATAGTTTCGAAAGAAACTGTTAGGGGCTGCGTCGGTGGGAGTAACGAAATAATTTGGATATATCAATAAAGTTGAAATGGTAAATTGGCCACCGTAACGATTACAAAAGCTGACGTTTCGAGCGTTAGC